ATCTTCAGCTAAGCAATAATTTGTCTCAGGCCTGCTGAGTACATTGTTGTGATGGCTCTTGTGATACCCAGAACTGAACATCACCTTGTTATACCCCGGCCTCATCTTGAGTCTTTTGTGCTTAACTTGGTGTCATCTTCCAGCACCACCAGCCTGTTAACAGTCCAGTTGAGCCCTGCCAGCCCTTACTATGCTTTGTAGGTTAACAAGGAGAGCACCCGAGTCCCTTGGAAACAAGCCCCTATAGATCATTCAGTCCATTCTTCGCTGAATGCTCACAGTAATATTGGACCTGCTGTCCCCAAAGGAATAGTACGCACTAACTAGACTAAATGCTGCAGTTCAGGATCAGCACCTTGCTTAATATTGTAACACTTACATATGCTTATAGTGAAAGCCAGGATACAGTTATGATCAAAGATTCAAACGATACAGTAAGAATAAAACAAAATCGTAATGCATTTTCTACAGCCTTAACTTAAATAAGTTAATCTCCCATATCAAGAAATTTCTCACCTTCAAAGTCCACTGAAACATTTCAGCCACATGTGGCTGAGCTCTAGTTTTCATTAATGTAAACTCACTGCCTGTTAACATTTCATGCTTCTAAGAAATAACCTCCATATTAGTGGCCCAGTGATCATGGCAGTAGACTAGGAACAGGCAGACCCAGGTCTATTGTTGTCTCTGCCATTGACTTGGGAGAACTTATTTTAAGAACACTGGGCTTATACCTGTTTTTACTATGTTATGCTGTTAAGACTGACTTTTTTTTTTCTGGTGTATGTTACTTTAGAAGTACAAAATCAGGGAAGCCTTGATTTGGCAGGATGAATTATTTTGGACAGGGGGAGGGGAGGGGAGGAAATCTTGGAGGATGCGTACACTGAGTTTTTGTATCCTAACTGATAAATACCTTCCTTCCCCCAAGTCCCAGTAAAGGAGGTTTGTCATGTTGCTCACACTCTGGACTGGCATTTAGGAAGTCTGTATTTAGTTCCGGACTTTGATGCAGACTTCTTCTTTGTCCTTGAGCATGTTGCTTAAGGCCTTATTGAAGGCCTATTAAGGTAAAGGAAAGAACACCCATTGATTTTGGAGGTGCAGCTGGCCTTACGACAATGACTGGCCCAAATGCACAGACAGACATTGGCATTACAAATGGATGCTAACCTAGAACATGATTTAAAAACAATAATTAAAAAATTCCATTTCCTCTGTCAGTTGCTCAAATTTCAAACATATTATGAGATCAGTAGGTGTGCAGTTGCCATAGTCTTCCAGAATATAGACAACCTGGATTATGCATGTGGAAAACAACTGCCACAAAGCAAACTCACCCACCTTTTTTTGGCAGTGGGACTGACTTTTTTTTTTTTTAAATAAACTTTGTCTGAACATCCACAAGCAGCACAATCCCAGTGTTTTTTCAAGTTCAAACTTTTTGTGTCTCCAGTTCCCTCAATGGGGATAATGACTAGGGCCCCATCAAAGTCCTAATCCATTTTGTTCAGTTTCAGTCACAGGGATTTAAAAATAGTAAATTTCATGATTTCATCCGTTGAAACCTGAAATGTCACAGTGTTGTTGTTGTAAGGGTTCTGACCCAAAAGAAGTTTAGGAGATTAGGGGGTTCCAAGGTTATTGTAGGGGGTGTTGCAGTACTACTACCCTCACTTCTGCGCTGCTGCTGGCATGGCAGCCTTGCTGCCTTTAGTTGAGCAGCAGGAGATTGTGGCTGGTGGGCTGGGGCTAGCTCTGAAGGCAGAGCTTCTGCCAACAGCAGTACAGAATTGAGGATGGGATGGGATGGCCATCCTTACTTCTGCACTGCTGCTGATGGAGCACTGCCGTCCAAGCTGGGTGCCTTTCCACTGCCACTCCAGCCACCTAGCTCTGAAGGTTATTACAGAAGAAAGGGTGATCTCCCTAAAAATAACCTTATGATCCCCTCAAGCTCCCTTTTGGGGCAGGGCCTGCAATTTGAAAAATGCTGGCCTCCCCCTCCCCAGAAATCTGTTTAGAATAGGGTAAAAGCACATAAAAGACCAGATTTAACGGGGAGAGACAAGATTTCACAGTTTGTGACGTTTTTCATATCTGTGAATTTGGCAGGGCCCTGATAATACTTATCAACATTCACAGAGTAGCTAGAGAACTATTAATAAAATGTGCTATACAGAAGCTAATGCGTCCGATTATTTATTTATGTTCCAGCCTTTGTAAAGATAAGCTTTGCCTGTTTGGGGTTTTGAGGCCAGATGAAAAATGATCTTAAGGAAAATGTCACTACCAAAAGAGGTATCTATTTCAGGCCCTGTGTTGCTCTGTTTAATAAGGCATGTTGAAAAAATTTTTTTTGAAAGGATTCTAGCTAGCTACCATATCACAGTACTCTCTCTCATTAAGTGGGTCCTTTCTAGGCACTGGCTTGAATTTACTTCCATCCCAGGCAGACCTGGTGGCGGTCAACTTTTATACACTACAATTTACAGAGCTAACTCAACGTATTGAGCTAGAGTTTTAATGGAAACCCCTAAGCAGGCTTAAATTGTTTCCACTCTAGTTGGCGTTTCCTGCTCTGCTGGCTTTTATTTTGTCTCGTGTGTGAAAGGGTAGAGAGAGGAATCCACAGGATGGAACAGAGGGGAAGTGTGGACTTCAGCCTTAGATAGACAGAAAGCAGGCTAGAAAGAATGAAAGGTTAATTGGTAGAGTGTCCAGCATTGGTGGAGGTGATAGAAAAAATGCTCCTAACTCCACAGGGCAATGAAAGAGACATACATTATTTTAATACTGCTTGTAACTTCAGTTTCTTAGCAAAATATTTTTGCCTGAAAACTTTTGCCTTGAGCCCTTCCCTGCTGTTTTTCTTCCTGAGCTCTTGCCAGACATTGCTGGTGTGGACTGCATCAGTCAAATTCAGTGGTCTTTTAACAAATGTGGTATTATGGACCTCCTCTCGCAATTCACAGGCAGGACTGTGGAGCAGCTCGAGCTGCACTGGGCAACCAAGACTAGTGAGGTAAGCTGCCCTCCGTTATCTCTGTGGGCTGCGAGATTGAAATCTAGTGGTGGGAAACCTGCAGGCTGCATGTGGCCCATTGGGGTTCCACCTGTGGCCTGTGCATCCCCTCTCTGCCCCTTCTCCCAAGCCTCTCCCCCTTCCCTTCCAACACTCTGCTGTAAACCAGCTGATCCCAGATCTTGAATGCCACGCATCAGGCAATCTGTGGCATTCTGAAAGTGCAGCGAGGGAGGAAGAGGAGTAGGTAAGTGCCGGGCTCCAACGCATGACAAGGGTGGGGGAAGAGGGCAGAGATGAAGTGTGGGCTGCAGGTGGAGCCCCAGTGGGCTGCCTGCAAGCCTCAGGTTGCCTACCACTGAGCTAAAGAGGCTGCTCCCTGAGAATCCTTCCATAGCGCATGCCTGGACAGGACCCAAGCTGCGTAGGGATAGGGATGCCAGATGGTTTAACCAAAAATAGACACCCCCCCCCACCCCAAAAAAAAACTAGGGAAAAAAAATCTGTTGGGGGGGGGGGGGGAGACCAAAGTTATTGAGCAAAAAAAAAAGGACGCTGAGAGTTGTTAGTTATTATGCAATTAAAAACAGCATGGCCCCTTTAAGAAAAGTCTTTAGGCTTTTTGCTGGTGGCCATCCTGTTTTCTTGATGGGCACCAGAACACCGCTTCCCTGCGGAACCAGGTAAGTGGGGAGAGCCGGGGGCCTGGAGAGGGGCTGGGCCCAGTTGCTGAGTGTGTGTAGGGTTGCCAGGTGTCTGGTATTTTTGCATTTTATGCACATTTTAGGTGTCCAGTATTTTCTGAAAATTTTTTTTTTAAACCGGACAGGAGGCGAAAATACTAGACTGTCAAAGTCAATACCGGACACATGGCAACCCTATGTAGGGAGTGCTATGTGGGTAAGTGTGCAGTGCAAACTTGGTCAGCAAAGCTTGCGAGTTTGTACATCACTGTGGAGCCTCTGGTTACTGGAGTCAACACCCTCAGTCAAATGGTAGCCGTAGTTAGCTGAAATGAGCAGTCATGGTCAAACCTGTTCATACCAGCAGAACAACAGACACTGTGCTAATTAAGGAAACGGAAGGTATTCCATGATCAGAAATCCTTCTCTTCCTCCCATGTTACACTAGTGTGACTGGATTCTTGAAATCCCCACTATGCAAGCCCCACTATGGTAACTTGAATGGGTGGCCATGAGAACAGAAGGCCTGTGGGCCATCATATTGGCACTCTCCTCTTCTTCATATAGGCCCCACTTAGCATTTCTTCCTTCGTGACTGTGGTAGTAGGTTTTTTTTTTTTTCTGCAGAGACTGAATGTAGTACGTTCACAGCTCTGTATATTTATCCTACTTCAGCTGATGATTGACTCCCACTTGCCAATGTTGCATGCCAGAGACAAGACCTCTGCCTAAGTGCTTGGAAATACCAGAGTTTGAAGAGTCAGCAAACTGAAGGGTGTGCAAGTGTGTGATCATATGACTGAGCCATGGCAAGCGTGGGTATTTGGGGTTTCGGAGTGTTTGGAATGTAAATACTCCCAAGTGCTGTGAATGAGAGAGATGTAGACACGAGATGTCAATAAGCAAATTTTTTTAATACAGGATTTATCCTGTCAGTCATTTTGTTATAAATGACTAACAGCTGGAATACTTAATAGGTTTAAAAAATGTTGATTAGAAAGTTGGGAACGGATGACTTGTGTGAATTACTTGGAAAATGAAATAACTTGATATAAATGCACAGTGTCGTGCCAGCACTAACTGATCCATACCACTTCCATGATGGGTGGGTACACGCTCTGTCTAATTGTATAGCGAGGCAGGTGAGAGCTGCCAGAGAAGCTCGGGTTTATAGCTGCCAGTAGATCACTGGTAAGTAAATATTTGGTCACTGGTAAGAGTCCCCATGTCCTACTAAAAGGCTAGAGATTCCAAATGCCTAATGTGGCCCTTGCTATTTTGTTTTTAAACAGATGGATCTCTCAGTGGAAACGCTCTACAGCTTCATGCAGGAGCGCCAGAAAAGATACGCCAAGTATGCAGAGCAAATCCAGAAGGTCAACGAGATGTCTGCCATCCTCCGCCGCATCCAGATGGGCATTGACCAGACCGTACCGCTCATGGAGAAGCTGAACAGCATGCTGCCTGAAAGCGAGAGGCTGGAACCTTTTACCATGAAACCTGACAGGGAGCTCAAGTTATAGTCTCGCCAAACTCCCTTTCCTCACCTTCTTGTCCAAACATTCAACACAAGGAGACACTTCCAGCACACCCTGTTGGCAGTCCTTTGGAACAGGCAGCTTTGCTGCCTGACTTTTTGCCAGGCTTTAAGATGAGGAAGAGCTGTCTCAGCAGCCAGACTGTGAATTGAAACAGTTCAGCCAGGAATAAAGGAGCTCCCTATTCTGATTGTTTGGAGAAGAAAATATACCCTTCCTTTATCCCCACTGCACCATCATCTGTACGGAAACGTGCTTTGGTGTGTTTCCTAGATTAAATCTCAAGAGGAACAATTTTAGAAAAATTTGAAAGGGGTACTGGGTGTAATAAACCCTGTAATGTACTTCCCATGCCACTGGAGATGTGAACAATTAGATGGCTGGCAGATCTTTCCAGGGCTGGGGAATAATTGTAAACATGTATTTTATAGGTGAAAATGTTGAGCCAGGAACTGACTTATTAAATCTGCCTGTTGTAATTAACATGACTTACATAGCAAGGAGGTTTCCCTTTTGGTTGTAGTCAGGATCTCGTTCATTGAGGCTCTTATTTTTACAGGCTTACTAATTTATGGGGCTGTAAATGAATAACTGTTCCCATTCCATGTGTCTGTGTCGTCATTGTAATACAGGCTGTGCTTTAACCTCCCTCACCCCTGCCACCTGGTGAGGCTACTCTGGGACATTTACCCCGAGCATTTTTATCGCAACTGTGGCACTGTTTTTGTGTTGCATCAGGAGATGACTGAGAGGTGATGGGAGCTTTTAATGGGCCAGCCAAATTGTGTGCTTGCTGCTGCCTTTGGAGTCTGTAGTTATATCTTTGAAGGGAGGCTGAGGTTTGTGTCTGTTGAGCTTGGTGCCGTAGTTCGTCTGCTTTTGTCGTGAGTGCCATGTTCCACAGCTATAACCACATAGCCCTTTAGGATTGCCCTCAGCAAGTGGCTCCCAAGACGGCCACAGACCGCTTTCCTTCCATTGCAAATGTCTTGCAGCTCTGGAAGGGAGGCGGTGTGCTTATGTTGAGCTTTGCGCTGGTTTGAGGACACTTCGGGGCTCAGTTCCTTGGCAGCTGTTGAGCTTTGCGCTGGATCGTGGACACTTCGGGGCTCAGTTCCTTGGCAGTTCAGTTCACCTCTCTGTCCAATGCTTTCTCCATCTCTAAAATGGAGGTAATGGTACCTTGTACGATGCTTTGAGATCACTAGAGGAACAGGGCCATGTAAGCCATGAATATGTAGTGACCTGAATGGCTGCTTCATGATTAATCTTTCATCAAAACTGAAGAACCATCCCCAGCTTTTGGCTGGTAGAAGCTTCAGGGGAAAAAATCAGGGCCCGTGATCAGTCCCAAACTGATGCATGCAACTTTCAGCACAGGATGCTACTGAGAAGGTGAAACCCACACCAGTACCTGGCTTGGGTAATCGGTATACCATTCCACAGGGCACATGCTGCAGTAGGGGTCCTGAAGCAGAGTATGGTTCCTGCTGGCTGCTTTGAACACCCCGAGTCCAACTGCAGCTGTAATAGAGATTCTCTGTAGGTAGGGTGTATGTGGGTCCAAGCTTTGCAGCAGCCCTGGTTCACTGGGTTGGCCTCTCTTTGAACCCAGAGTTAGTCTGTATCTCTGAGGTCTGTCCCAGGCAGCATTTCCCCAAAGATGCCCAGTTACTCAGTCTTCTTCTGTGTGCTGGATGCAGAGTAGCTTCTAGTCACAAGTACAGCCAAACTGCCTCCCCTCCAGAGCAATGAGGGGGTGGGGTGGGGTGGAGCAGGGGAGGAGAGAGGGACCCACCAATTCATGAAATTCACATTGCAATGAGAAGCAGCCTGCTAGGTCCCAGTTCCAAAGGCTTGCTGTCCCAGTCTGTAACTGCCATATAACAGCTCCTGAACTGGATCAAACTCCTCCACAGCAGCCTGGCTCCCTTTCTGCTCCAAAAACAGAGAGACGAGTCCACAGACTACTGAGTCTTCCTCCACAACCGTGGGGAGACTCAGATCTCCCACATAAGAGTCATGTCCTTCCTGTTTTTCCCAAGGGCTCATGGGAATTGTAGTCTGTGAGGCTGGATTGCTGCACACAGGGTCTTCCCAGAAAATAAGCAGACACCTTTAAGTAGGGGGACTACAATAGTAATGGTTAGAGTCAAGGCTGTTAAATATTGTGTGGGAGTAGGGTCCCTTTGACATGAGGAACAATTAACTATTCAGATGTGGCAAAAGATTTATTAGCACAGTGTTTCCCAATTTTATTTGGCTGAGGAACCCTTTTCAGCTTTTCAAAATTTCAAGGAACCCCTAGGTTTGTCAAGCAAAAAAAGGGGGGGCGGGGGAGGAGAGAGGGACCCACCAATTCATGACCCAAGACCTCCCCCCATCTCCTTTCTGTGAGGCCTCATCCGCTCTGTTCCCTTCCTCTCCATCACTTGCTATATCCAGCCCTTATACTTGTCTCAACCTAGTGAGTGAGATGTGGGGTGGGAATGAGGGATTTGGGTGTGGGAAGGGGTGAGAAGTACAAGGTCTGGGAGGGAATTTGGATGCAGGAAAAAGGGCAGGGCTGTTGGGGAGGGGGCTCTAGGCTGGGGAGTGTTGGGTTCAGGGGGAAGGTTGGGGTGCTGAGCAAGCCAGGGCTTGTGGGTGTGAGGGTGCCGGGCAGAAGACTGAGGATGTGGGGATGCAGGAGTGTGGAGATGTAAGAGGCTCAGGACGGACGTTCCAGTGTATGATAGGCTTAGATTTGGGGTCAGGTGGTGCAGGAGTGTTATGATGTTGCAGTGAAATGGGGGTTTGGTCCCAATTGGGGGCTTGTTGGCCTGGCTTCATTTTTAAATAAAATAGTATGTCAAACTAAGGTTTTAGCATTGTCTTTATATATGAGAGGGGTGAGGAACCTGTTTTGAGTCAAAGGTCACTGACCCACAGAAAAATCAGTTGGGGCCACACAAGTGAGATGAAAAACAAAACAAAAAAAAGCTCCTCCAAACCCCCCCAAGCCTCACTAATGTGGTCCCAAATGTGCTGCTGGGGGTAGGGGACAGAGTGATAGTGGGTGCTGGGGAGAGGGTGCTGCTGGGTGGAAGGATGCTGGCTCAGGTGGCAGGGTGCTGGGGCAAGGTGCTGGGACAGGCAGGTGGCAGGGTGCTGGGGTCAGGGACATGGTCCTGCTGGGCACTAGGGTGACTGGCAGGGTGCTGGGACAAGGAACAGGGTGCTGCTGGGTGCTAGC